TATATATATAATTTTTTATATATACAATTCAACTTGTTAATTCTCGAGTTCAACTTATCAATAAAGATAAATGAACTACGCTTGAGCTCGATTATTAACTCATTTAGTTGATGAGTCGAACTGAGCTCGGCTATCTCAAGTGTACCATGAGTTCGAGCTCAACTAATATGTAGCTTAACACAACTCGTTAGGTTCAATTTAGCTCTTTCATTTTTTGGTAAACTCCATTTCGTTTGTTTTGATTGACTATAAAAGTTGAGTCACTTCAACTTAATTAAAACTTAAGTCACGGGTACATATTAAAAACTTAAGTCACGGCTACATATTAAAAACTTAAGTCACGGCTACATATTAAAACCAATTTTCATCGATCAGATATTTTTTTTACACACTTTAACTCAAATTCCAATACAAATTTAGTACAATCGACTCTCCTCAATATTATCTATATAACTAACTATTACCATTTAATCATCATTATATATCACGTCAACTTTAGTTCAATATTTATTCACTTGCACATTTATGTGTACCTATTGATGGGTCCCTACCTAGATCTTAGTATAACCGACAGAGAAGAACTTCGACCTGCCTGAACATACACGCGTACTTGCACAAACTCAACGCCAAAAGGGTATTTCGACGTAGAGTCTACGATGCTAAAGTCAATAAAAAGAAGAAGATGGTGATGTTCAGTGGTCTATAGCAGTACGTAATGTATGGAGAATAAAGAGTGTTTAGATGTACCTCAATCCTTTTTATAGGAAAATAAATAGTCTACCCGACTGCCCGAACTTAGTGCTTAATTGTTTATCCATATGCTAATTACTTCATAATCATCTTTACATTCTACTTAGCACCTTAAGGTCATTTTTATTCTTGAGGTTAGTCTAGGTCGTGACTTTTCTCGAGATTGTTCGTTCCACGGTTCTTTAGTCAAGGTCAAACTGTTCTAGTTACTTAGGTCATTTGACACCACCCAGACTGTTCAAGGTCCTTAGGTTGCCTAAAGGCTAGGTCGTCCGTATGCCCTAAGTCTTGACTTCCAGGTGTCCGAGAGTAAGATCGTCATGTTGTCCAAGCATCATGATCTTAGATCGCTTGAACATGTCGTTATCCGCTCCAATCGAGTTTCTCATACTTAGAAATTTCCGATCCATACATATATGGCTATATTATAATATCATTTTCATCCTTCTAACATTAACTTTAATTATTAAATTTTAAAAATTAGTCACATATAAATTTAAAATTCAACTCATTAAATTTTATTTCAATTTCACTTAAGACTCACTTTCACTCAAAATTATATCCAATCGCTCGGCTAATTTAATAGACAAATATTACAAACAAAAAAGGTTTCAAAATTTGCGTCTGAACTTCGGTGCCAAAAGGAAACCCCACAAGAAATTCCCGGGAGCTTTATTTATTAGGGATAGTCAAAGGGGTTATTTATTTAAAAGGGATAGTGAAAATGTTATTTGTCCAAATAACCCAACCATTAAGTAAAGAAAAATTAATATTTGAAAAACCTAAAATACCCTTATAT